TTCATCCCAGAACTTGTTCACCTAAGCCTACCAGCTTCCTTGTGCAAGACCGCACTTCTAAGTTGCCCCCTTACGACTTAGCACGTATCTGCTAGCCCTGCATCTCGACGAGCGCCGTCTTACTGAGATCGCCGGAGGAACCCTTGACGTTCCGTCAAGCCGAGAACCACCCTCAGCTTCAGTAGGCTCACTCGAGCCGTCGCTGAGAAGACCTATCCTAGTTCGCACACGCCGACCGACGGTCAGCGTAACAGCCATGAGGAAAGGGAAGGGAAGGACCACCATGAACGGCCAGAGGAAGGAACCATGAGGAAAGGAAGGGCCACCACGAATGGCCAGGAAGGAAATGGTACCCAATTACACTATCATACCTCGCTGGTTGAAACTCTCATAAGAATATAAATTAGGTTACAAGTGCTAATGGTTCTTTCCACAATAAAGTCTTATATCACTTGGTAGTTTAAAACATAAACAAAGGGATATGGTATGAATCAACAAATATAACTTAACTATGCTATTGCATATTGATTGCTGCAACGGCGCAATGTTGTAATCTTGTCGCGAACTCCTCATGGTAAAATGAATTTTCAGAGATTCATGGCTATGTACCAATAACTAATATTTATTGCTGTATACATAGGTATATCAGGCTATAGTGTCATTATTATGGATAACTAAGTCTCATTAGAGACAGCTGGTTATCCTTCCTTGTCACGGACTGCTGATGCTTTGACAGATTATCCATTACCGCTCCCACGATGGAAAACTTGCCAGACAGCTCAATTTGGTGTGTTTCTGCTCATTCTGGGGCTGTCCGTGATGTATAATTATTGATAATGGGTTGGCTGATACTTTTTGGTGTGTTCCTACCCTTTCCAAGCTGCATTAACCATCTTGCTTCAGCTTCAGATTTATCCCACCCCTCTCCCTGCTTCTCTGCAATCTGGATCTGATCATCCCATCAAAAGAATACTCCGAAATGATGTTTCCACACCTCATGTGTCTATTGGTTCCCTCTGTGCCTTTGATTCCTGCAAAATGCCGCCCCCTTGACTATTTTTCTCCTTGGTTTAATGTGCGCAGGTACCCACACACCCTCACCATCACAATTTCTCAGACCCTCATTTCAATAACTGCCTCGGATATCATTTTAATGCTGCAAAACATGTAGTAAGTGCCCAGTTTTTACTACACCCTTGAATCTTGTGCCTAACATGTATGGTTTTTCACTCGTTTACTACAGAAAAGCCTGGCTTAAACACGGTGGTCTGGAATGCAGTTGGCCGTTTTCCAATGCCTGTGTTATCATTGCCCTTCCTCCCAGATTGAGTTTTTTTTACTCAGAAATACACGCAATCTCGCTAGAACATCACCACGCGAGTACTGTGTAGAGCTTATATTGCCTGGACTATGTATCTTACTATAGTCGTGTATGCTACCTACATAGATGTCAAATGAACCATTTTTTGCGCTTCTTGAAATTCCAGTGAGGAGCCAGTGGTAGTTATCAGTTTCGGTATGACTACTGTCGAGTGGCTGTTTCTAGTACAGTTTTGGTCTGACTACCGAACAGATTTCTTGTACTGTCGATGTCGGCAATGTGAATACAGATAATGTATATCAGGACCTTGATTTAAGCTTATTCGAGGCTTAACTGCATTGCATAGACCTTGTATTTGTTTTGATAGGTAGCTACTATATGTTACAGGGATCTGTAACACCTACTAGAGCCCCAGCTCTCCCTACACCTGCCCCCGCTCTGCTAGATTCCCCGCGCGGCGGTGCGCCGCCTGCGCCTAGAAAGACAGCGGTCTGGACCGCTATGACCCCGCCCCATGGCGCTATGACCCCGCCTGGCACTATGACCCCGCCCCTGGCCTAGACGGCCTTGTACCTGTTCCATGGAGGCTGTACACCTCATGGACACCCTAGATCAGCGCATGCATAAACGCATGTCGCCTCATGTAGACCCGGAGCGCTCTAGGCGCTTCCTGTACCTATGCACAGCTGCCCTTGGCGCAGCATGCTTGATCAGAGGTTAAGCCTCATGTATCTTATCTGAGCCTCATGTCTGGCTATCATAGATTCCGATATACTATTGATTACAGACTGAGCTAGAATACTTGTAGTACTTCCCTATAAGTAGACACAGATTATTGTACTTAGACTTTACTTTAATCTACTAGGTTCATCCCCAGAACTTGCTCATCTAAGCTTACCAGCTTCCTTGTGTGAGACCGCACTTCTAAGTCGCCCCCATACGACTTAGCACGTATCCGCTAGCCCTGCATCTCGACGAGCGCCGTCTTACCGAGATCGCCGGAGGAATCCTTGACGTTCCGTCAAGGCTAGACCACACTCAGCTTCAGTAGACTCACTCGAGTCGTCGCTGAGAAGACCCATCCTAGTTCGCACACGCCGACCTACAGGTCGACGTAACAAAAGATTAAAGTCTATCTGATCGTCGCCTATCTACGCGACGCACACCCAGATACGCACCTTGCCTCGACCAGCATTGTAGAGGAAGACATGCCTTACGTCAACCAATATCGCATCATCCTCACGGACGACTCCCGAAGAAGAGCGCCGTACACTCGTAGTGTCCCCGAAGAAGGCGCTGATGATGAAGACCGCCGTGATACGGCGAGAAAAGAATCAATCGAAGACCACCTTGGCCAGGCGAGAAAAGAATGAAGCCCGACCCTCATCCACACGCACGAAGATCGCCGCGGCCTCCCATCTCAACGGGAAAGAAATCCGCATTCCGCCTTAACAGCAGGCGATGCTTCAACTGCAACGCGACCGGCCACCGTGCCAGTGACAATCTCTGCCGAGATAGGAGAAAGATTGTCGATGAAGACCCGATTAGGTCGATTAAGACCATCGGTAAGAAACGCGAATTCCGGGTTCCTGTAACCTTGATTTCAGAAAGAAGAGAAGCACCGATAACGACTTCTATGGTCGTTGACTCGGGTGCCTGCCGATCCTTCATTCATAAGGATTATTGCAAGAAGCACCGCATCTCCTCGCACCCGCTAAAGAAGCCACTCACGGTAACTAACGCGGACGGATCTGTTACGGCCGGAGGGCCTATCTCCCGATATTGCACCCTCACGGTCAAGATCGATGAACGGGTAACGCCTGTTAGGTTTTACCTAGCTGAGTTGTCATACTCAGATAAATTCCTGCTTGGGCAACCATGGCTGATCGCCAACAACCCCAGCATAGATTGGACGGCGTCCACCCTGACCCTCGCCGCCACCCCCGAATCCAGAGACATGGAACGGGATATAGATTCCGAACGGAAGAAGAACGGCCTGACGCCCCTCTTCCAGAAGAAAGATAAGCGAGTCGCTGACCGCTCTCAGACGAAGAAGAAACTCCGTAAAGAGTATAAACTAGCACCGGCACCGGCTGCCATGCCCTATGCCACGATTGTGGAGATCCCCGAAGAAGGACCCACACCCCAGACTGCCGCAACCTCTCAGCCGCAGCAGACCGCACCACAGCCCGAAGAAGCTGTGAGGAGCCAAGCCGCCAAGACTGCTACGTCTTTGGCGCCCCCATCAGTCCCGAAGAATCCCTTCCCGACTCTAAATGAAAAGAAGAGGCCTTCCGTCGCCTCTGAGCCGCAATTAACATTCTCGGCAGAACCAGCGTCTGTCCTTGGCAAAGGACGCGCTATTGCTACCGCAGAGCCACCCCCTGCTAAGCACCCTAGACTGGCCCCTGAACCAGAGAAAACTCAGACGAAGTTTATGTTTTCCGGAGAGCCAGTATCCGTTCTCGGAAAAGGAAGAGCCGTCTTCACGGCAGATCGACCGGCAGCCAAGAAACTGCGGTTCGATAACGAAGAACCAATCCCCTCTCTGTCACCAGGACATGCCTATGTCCGACAGCGAAGACACCGAACCGGGCCATGCTGTAAGCCCCGCGACACCCCCAGCAACCGACATACATATGTCATCGGTTGACCCTGACCAGAACCCAGTCGAAAGTTATTTCGACATGGTGATCCAGCGCTTGAATGCGCGTCCTCTGACGCCCCCCGCGCTTCCTGACCCAGCCCTATTGGCTGATGAGGACTCTAAAGAGTCCGACTCCGATTCTGACGAAGAAGACAACCCCGGATCCTCATATATTCGGACGATCGGCGATTTCATTTTCGCCTCTCCTTCTGACGACCCTGACTGCGGAGAACTCGAATTGGACTTTTAATTTCGTTAATCGTGGTAGATCAACGTCCTAGTGACGGGGTAAATTTATAATTACTTTTACCTTTTCCACACCTTTTTCTATCTAATAGGTCTCTACCCCTTTCGATTCTCGCCGACACGTCCACTATGACGCTAAACTAGACCCAAGTCCGCTACGACTATAAACTAGGTCCGAGTCCAGCACGACTATAAACTGCGCGATCGTCCGGAAAGACGTTAAACTAAGATTGTCTGAAACGACATTAAACTATCTTCCTCGCTGGACGACCCCGGACACCTCTCCGGCCCCCTACGCTTGGAAACCCCTGTCCACAACCTCACGTACTAACAAAAGGTTAAGACACCGTACGTCCGAAACGACGCTTAAACTAGACCACCCTTCGACGATCCGACTTAACAAAAGATCCAGAAGACGATGAAGACGAGGGAATCCCCAGAGAAACTCCTGCAAGCCTCATGGCCCTTACCTTCCCCTGATCGTCCGGAAAGACGCTTAAACTATCATGAGGCGAACCTTTCGGAAACTCCTGCAAGCCCGCTAGATCCTCTAGATCCGCCGACCATATCAACAATAGATAACGGAACACGCCCACTCATCATGGCAATGATTATCACCCTCTGATGGATAGATTAGAACACGAGGAGCGACACGCCCTCACTGATTGAACTTTGATAGGGTTCAAACGAAAGATAAGTCTGACTCAAGCGGAGCTTGGAACGACCTAGAGAAACATATGAGACACTCGCCCTACGGTTGACCTTTCCTCAGAACCTCCTACCATCATGACGACTCCTACCGAAACCCCTACCATCGTAACGCTGAAGGACTCCGACTACGGACGAATCCTCAGCACGATTGAGAATTGCGCATTCAGCGAAACCGCCATTCTGACCCCCGCGTACTCCCGAGAGATCGACAACATCCTCGGTGAGATGAGCGCAACCGTTGCAGCGAGCACCTCCCTCGCCGTGCACATTATAAAGACCACGAAGATGCTAGAAGACGCCGCACTTCGTACAGATATAGACGAAGGTACTAGGATGCTCGCCATGCTCCACCTTCAGAAAAGAATTCGCGCAATGGCGCTTCACCTCCTACCGCTCGACTTCCCCGACCTCGTAAACCTCGCGGTTAGGACGGCTGTGTCGAAGCCTCGCGCCGAAGAAGAAATTAGACCCGTGCGCCCTCTGCCTAAGAAGAGAGCGGCCACGATGGATAGAACCCGCACGCTTTGTAGACGCTGCGGAGGATATGGGCACACTTTTAGACAGTGTCCTGACTACGTCTGCTGCATCTGCAGCGAGATTGGACCGGATCATTTATCGATCCACTGCCCTGGACTCAAGGGACGCATCGTGCTCCAAGAGTTTTCAGATGAGGAGAAGTTCTTTGAAGCTCTCCTAGATTGGGAGCAGAATCATAAAGCACTCGCCGACCTCGCACTCGCCTTCCCCTATGCCCGCGACGCCGATACCCATGACGCCTGTGCCAGCAACTCCCTCGACACCCGCACCGTCCTCCCAGCCTTTGGACGCAGTGTTAATTGAAGCCGGTGACTTCAACCTTAGTAACGGGGTAATGTTACAGGGATCTGTAACACCTACTAGAGCCCCAGCTCTCCCTACACCTGCCCCCGCTCTGCTAGATTCCCCGCGCGGCGGTGCGCCGCCTGCGCCTAGAAAGACAGCGGTCTGGACCGCTATGACCCCGCCCCATGGCGCTATGACCCCGCCTGGCACTATGACCCCGCCCCTGGCCTAGACGGCCTTGTACCTGATCCATGGAGGCTGTACGCCTCATGGACACCCTAGATCAGCGCATGCATAACGCATGTCGCCTCATGAAGATCCGGAGCGCTTCTACGCGCCTCCTGTTGATTGCGCAGCTGCACTTGGCGCTGCATGTATGATCAGAGGCTAAGCCTCATGTATACTATCTCTCCTCATGTCTGGTTATCTTAGATTACCGATATACTATAGATTACAGACTGAGCTAGAATAACCTATAGTTAACACTATAAGAGTAGATACATTGTCGTAGATTAACTTCACTTTAATCTACTAGGTTCATCCCCAGAACTTGCTCATCTAAGCTTAACCGCTTCCTTGTGTGAGACCGCACTTCTAAGTCGCCCCCATACGACTTAGCACGTATCCGCTAGCCCTGCATCTCGACGAGCACCGTCTTACCGAGATCGCCGGAGGAATCCTTGACGTTCCGTCAAGGCCAGACCACGCTCAGCTTCAGTAGACTCACTCGAGTCGTCGCTGAGAAGACCTATCCTAGTTCGCACACGCCGACCTACAGTCGACGTAACACTATAGATACAATGTTATTAGTTTCAGTCCGACTACTATCAAAAGTCTGACTCTATGGCACTGCTTCTTTCCAAACCTTTTCTACCAACCACCGCAACACTACAACCTCTCAGAATTATGCCTCGTCCTTCCATTCGTAGCTTCACTGCGATATCTCTCCAAGTACATTGATTTCCTCTGGCATAGACTATGAGGATAAACAGTAAGTAGAGATCTAGTTGGTGCTGTTTTCTGACCACATCACCCCCAAGTTCTGTACACTACCGTTATCCTGACGAGTCGCTCATCAGAGCTGGTTTCTCTTGCGCATCCACCTCCCTTCTCGCTTCTTCCTTCTTCCTGCTCCCTTGTTCTCCTCCTCATTTTCGACTTTCCTCCTCCTGCTCTCATCCCATTGGAATCAACAACCCTCCTCGATCACAGCGGCCCACTCGTCAGTGCCGGTTTCTCTTGCACCCGCATTGCACCCTCTCATACCTCCGTTGATCCTCTTGCTGGGCTGGATGGTGTAGTGGGCATTGTATTGTTGTTGCTGGAGGCGGTGGGTGTTATTGTCTCTCGGTTGGTGTTGCAGGGGTGTGCTGGGACGAGTACCAGAGTGAGTGAGTACTCACTATCATTGTGCATCCACCATCCCTTCTAGCTTCTTCCTTCTTCCTGCTTGTCTCTATCCCTCATTCTCCTCCTCGTCTGCTTCCCTCGAGGCTCCTCCTGCTGTTGTCCATCATCCGCACTCGTCTGAGCCACGTCAGCAGTTGCTGATGTGCACTGGGCGTTTGCGCATGGTGTTCATGGTGTATGGAACAGCGTGGTGGACGTGGTGGGCATTGTCAATGCAACACCTCAAGATTGTGGTCGAACCCGGTTCAAACGCAAACCAGACCTCCCGAACACGTTCAGCGGCGTTCGGTGAAGGTTCAACGATACAGCGAGGCACGAACAATGCTCCTGACTGTATCTATAATTGTTGTAAGGTCGTGCGTTGCCTAGTCTGCTATACTTAAGACGACAAGTGCGTTCGACCCTAAAGGGGAAGCGAGTGCAGCAAGGATCTAGAGGTATGCGCTGAAAGCGCTACTGGTTGGCCAATGCGAAGCGCGGGAAAGCGCAGGTGCGCGCGAGGCGCGAGAATGCGCGAAGCGCGGGAATGCGTGCGCGTGTATGCGGAAACAAGAGAGAGTAAGAGTGAGTTTGCTTAGGTGATGATATGATGTAAGACAAGAGAAGGGAGATGCGAGGTGTAAACAAATAGATTTCTACTATGTTCTGCTAGGTAAATAGTGGGTAGTGACCAGTAAGTCCTCTGTTGTTCTGGTGGGAGAGTAAGTCCGTAAGTAAGTATGTACTGCTGGCGCTTAAGTATGGCGCCTAAGCGCTGTCATGCGGAGCCGAAGCGCTACCGAGTAAGGTATGTAAAGATATATGTAAGTAAGGGTCCATGATAAAAATAAAGATGGAACGATAAGCAAATGTGAGAAATGGAAATATACGCACTAGGGAACTTGGTGGACAGTGGATGGATGCTTCCGGATGGCTGGCGCTATAGGGCGCTACAGCGTGGGAAAGCGCGCGCGCATATACATCGTGAAGCGCGGGAAAGGTACGCGCGCATGGCGCGCGTTGCGCGGGAAAGCTGCGCCTCATATAGAGATAGCTGCAGGTAGCACACAGAGTGATGCTACAAGTTCGTGCCATGTACTCCCCAGTGAAAACTGCCATATTGCACAATGAGAGGCATGAGTCTCTACATCGGTCCAGAGTTTGGCCAACAGCTGAACCTGAACCTAGGCTAGCGAGTATCTTATTGCAGCGCGCAAGCCGACGTCAACACGTTGCTCGCCTGCACTCCTTTTGGCTTGGGCTCGGATCTATCACTCTCCCTCCTCGTCTATCTCAGATCCTTCAGCTTTCTTCGTCTCGGATCTCTCGGACGTCAACAGCATGGTGGGAAGAGCAGGCCACACGAAGGGTAGGCCTAGATGATGCTTCATTGGAAGGCATCCGAGGCTATGCCAAATGTCAAGCGGCCCTGCGCAGGTCTATGAGAGATGTATTCCTCACCAAGTGGAGTATTGTGCCCGCTCTCCTTCATCCTGAGGCAACTGCAGCTCCCATTTAGTACTGTCAGTACATTTTGACATACCTTCTCTTCATGCTGAATACAGACTTTTTAGCATCTTTACTCGTGTGATCGACATAGCATTCTCAAGAAGCTTCAACAAAGGCCCTGGGCCCTGGCATACTCAGATCTCGCGATCGATATATATATGCGGACAGCAAGTACTATGGTCAGATCCCACGATCAAGATGTATATAAGCGGACAGCAAGTACTATGGAGCAGCAGGAGCAAGGTTATGTATAACAGATAACGAAGGATATCCTTGAGGCTCCATGACAAGGAAGCATAACCAGTGGTCTCTAATTAGAGTTGGTTATCCATAATACTGCCAGCAACAGGTGGGTATATTCAGCCATAGCATAATGATATCATCTTATACTTCCCACGGCTACAAAATCAAGGACTCATGAATTCACTGATGATAGGCTAGACTCGCAATGAACTTGTCTGTGGTAGTATAGTCACCAGCCTGTGACGCGTCAGCCATTTCAGTATCATCAGTAACGAGTTCATTGTGATATGATGCAGATTTAAAGCACAGACGTTCGATGGTCCATCGATACAGGAGGTTCTGCTCATGATGACTATGCCAATGGAATCTCCAGCTCGAAACCCATCACATCCAGGTGAGCATTTTAATACCCACTGCGCAGAAGAAGTTGACCAGAAGACGTTGTTTGCAGATTAGCACCGCCGTACTAGTAGGTGTTGGAACGGATGTGAGCACTGACAGATCGTTGGCTATCCAAAGTTTCCATGGACTACAGGGTCACGGTCTCGTCCCACCCTACATAACATTCGTAGGATGATTGGAATATGATGACAGTATATGATATGAGGGTTAACGGATGTTGACGAACTCGTGGAAAAACACACCGTCACAACACGAAGGGGAATATTATTTGCATGAATGAAAAAGCTAGTTTCAATATTTAGAAATAAGATTTAGCTGGGGATGACACGACACACCGGATCCGGCAGCTTTGCACTTGCTTGGTCTTTACTCCGACGATCAATAACAGGTGCACCAAGCTGCAGCACAACTGCATTTGTACAGTGATAAGATGCGTTCGGTAGGTTGTCACGACCCTTTCGAGCACCTGCAATGTCTGCACTAGCGATGTGAGTTGTCCGGAACTTGTTCCACGCGATCGGAATTGAGTGACGCAAGGGGACGGCCTCCAGCATGCGCCATCTTGCTTTACTAAGGGATGTTTTGTTGGTTTTTAGGTTTCCAAGTCACATCTCCGCAAGTCTGGAGTTTTGCCAAGTTCTGCCAACGACACCGTGACTAGGACGTTCTCGACGAAGTTGCTAAACCTCTCACGCCACGTACGTGTCCTTTGCTTATCGCATATTGACTCGTTGGAGATGCCAGCCTAGCGTTCTGAAGAGGGAAAGGGAAGAAACCTGATGGAATGCTTAGCTCTGTACTCTAGGACCCCGAACTCCTGCGGCCCCCGACCCTCGCCTCGGTGGCACCCGCCTCGTCCTAGACTCCTAGCACCTACTCCCATTGGCTGATCCCTGCACTGCGCTCCCTACTACATCGTCTCTCTCAACGAATCTTAATGGGTGTCCTTTTTAATATCTAGACTTTTTCCTTTACCCAGCCAGTCTCGACTGATGCTGATATTTCACACCGAGCTTCTAAAATACACTTCTCCAATTTCGGGTGTTCTGTTGGGCTCTCAGGTGGTCGCGATAGGTTCGCCCTCGACCTCTTCAGCCAATCACCAGCAGTAAATTCCAGTGCACGTGATGTTCACACAGTTTGTGCTCGGAAACCGCCCCCAACATTTACAGTGGTAGTATAAAGTGCTATGAACATTTTCTTGCCTTGGCCACCGAGTCTGCAAACTGACGCAGAAAATTATGTCACTGGCGCCAGAATATGGGTAGAAGTTTATCCCCAAAGGCCAAGCGCCGCTGTCAACACAACTCTGCCATCGGCTAACCTGAGTTCCTCTACTAATCTACCCCTAGTAATATCTCTGGGAGCGGTCAACTATAAGTAAGTGTGATATTTTGATGACTATGACTAGCTGATTGATGACGTGCAGAACCTCAGGATGATCTCCTCTTACCGATTATACACGTTGCGAATGCCAACGTCATGACTGAACCTTGACTGATCTACCTGCTTATATCTAGACTTAATTTGATGACATTCCATCGGCATTCCATCGGAATCCTGTCATGAACTTGAGAGCCAAGGAAATCGATTTCAACTTCCAATAAGAAACAATGGCATCCAACAAATCACAGTGTACCCCGCGCTCAACTCGCGTAACGACCGGTATCAGAAGCCAGTCCTTGTCAGTGGTCAGACTAGGTTTGGTTTCAATCTTCTTCCACGAATACCCACCATTGAATGTCTTTGCCATGGGAAAGCAGCTGGATGATGTATTTTGTCAAGGAATATAAAACCTGAACGACTGATGGGGAATCAGGCACACTCCAAAATGACGGAGCCGAATGAAGTCAAAGTTGAGACCCTCTTGAGCATCATCAACTCCTCCGCGCGCGAAGCAATGGCGGAATACAAGAACACTGGACATGGAGTCCCCGGTATCGACGCAGGCACCTTTCACCCCCTCGACTTTGCGACAGATACACTTACCCTCAGAAAGGCAATCAGGCAGCTGGAGGCTGCGTGCGAACAATTGAACACAATACTGGCTCCCCCTCAACACACAGCATATAATGTAAGTGTCGATTATAGATGGCCTTATATGCTTTGCTGCCCATCTTCCTAGCTTGTTAGTAATTACAATTGGGCGTGCATGGACGTCGCCGCGCAATCATGTATTGCAGACGTCTTGGAAAAATACCCGGAAGGTCTTGGTGTGGATGCGTTGGCTGACGCAGTCAATCTCGACAAGACCAAGATCGCACGCGTCTTGCGATTTCTGGCCCTCATGGGTTGTTTCAAAGAAGGTGATATGTATACTGTTGGTTGATATTTTTCTCTGAAGCCGTTGGTGTGCACAGTTAAGCGAGACGTATTCACAAACACGCGACTCTCCCTCGTGCTCAAGTCGACAAACAACGTTGGGTCTTGTATACGAAATCACCGAAGATGCCCCAAATATGCTGCAGCTCTCTATGAGACCATGACCGACCAAGAGTTTGCAAGATCTCACGAAGTTGAAAAGGCCCCTCGAGCATTTGTTCTCGGAAAGCAAGGCAAAAACAACAACTTCTGGGAAATGGACGTAAGTTTCCGTTATTATACTGGTCTTTCATGCCTTGACAAATTGTATAGGATAAGGCACGCGAAGTATGTGCGGATTCGTCCGTTCATGACTGACTGATGGCTCACAATACACAGATATTCCACAGAAGCATGATAGGCCATTCTGAGGTCCATGGCTCGTATGCGGCGTTGCATTGTGAGAAATCGCCGTTTTTTCAACCGTCAGCATGACTATAAGCGGGCCATAAGATTACCCTTGGGACAATGTATCATCCGTGGTGGATGTTGGATCTGGAACCGGAACAGTGTCTATCCCTCTGGCGAAAATGTTCCGTCATCTCAAAATAACCAATCAGGATCTCCCAGAAACTATAAAGCTGTCAAGAAATGTGAGTCCAGACATCAGGTCCAAACGCAGTGGGGTTATATTTACATGATCAGATATGGGAGAAGAATGCTCCTGAGGTGCTGCTCGACGGGCGTGTAGAGTTCGTGACATTGAATTTCTTGGAGGAGTCACCTGTTGCTGGAAAGGATGTTTACTATGTAAGTGCCAAGTTTGTTTCCATTCAACGCGGGCTGCTCGATAATTTGATATAGTTAAGGAGCATCATTCACGACTGGCCGGACGATGAGTCAAAGCTGATTCTCAACAATATTCGCAAAGTAATGGGACCAAACAGCCGAGTGTTGATTCGTGAGTCAGCTGCGTTTCAAAGCGATGTTTTCTCCAGAATCAACGTCCTGTGATAGAGGATTACGTGCTATTGCGCACATTCGAAGAGCCTGACGTAGGGGCTGACGAGTCTACTAAGGTGAGTTTCGAGTGTTTATTAATTATTAAAAATTTATTGACGGTGTGATCATGCATTCAGGACCATAAGGCGCCCGAACCTACATTATTGAACTTCGGTTGTAGCACAGCACACCAGCATGACATGACGATGTGGCTTCTTTTCAATGGCAAGGAGCGAACCTTGAACGAATTCAAGAACATTGGGCAAGTTCCTTCTATTCATGGACACGTTGACGATGTTTAATTTGTTATGATTCGCAGGGCCAGTGCTGGTTTAGTACTCACCCAAACCTATGATTTTGTGGGGACGATGCTCTTGGAGTTCAGAATCGCTCAGGACTGATGTCGAACACAATCTGCCACCAATGGAGTGGGGTGCTCAAAGGGCATCAAAGTTTAGAGCAACGGCAATGATTCAAGGTATTTCTGTGGAGTTGATAGCGCAATTCTATACTATGATGCTCATGCAAAGTTGCTATGAGGTCAAGAATAACGTTGGACGAGCCTTGAAGCTTGCTCAACTTCACACTGCTTTGAGTCCCTTGGTCGAAAAAATCGAACCCGATGAATGCGAGATTATTTAGTAGACCGAGAAACTGATGCGCGCCACATGAAGCAGACTCGGATGTGCATATGAAGTTCGAGGACGAGAGACTACGTGGGAAAACGGAAGAGTCGTACCTATTTCACGATTGCGTTCTTTTCTCAAGGAAGTCCTGCTGCTTGCACTCTTTGCATAATACTTCATGCGTCGAAGTGGATACAATCTATCGCGGCATCATTAATGATAGAGATTGTACAATGCACGGTGGAAATGGAGAAGGTTTAGCCGGGGATTGGGACGAGAGCAGCGGTACAGCTTTGTTTTTCCAACGAGGAGTCCAGGGCTGACTGACTTTCGAGACGAGGGTCCGTGGAGTTTCCGACAATATTGGTCTACAATCAGTATGCTGGTCGCCAGTGGCCTTGTAATATGTATTTGCGGTCGTCCCCATATCTCGTGCCTCCAGGAGTCTGAATCACCCCTTCAGGGTTTCTGACCACGCCCTCAAGGGTCACAGGCCGTTGCACCTCCCCTTCTGTACCAAACTGCGCTGCTCCTTCGCTCATGGGGAGTCTGTCCATTGTATTGCAAGGTTGATGTTTGGAGCTAAAGTGGGGATTGAGTTGAGGCGGGAGTGGTTGTTTGGGAAGGAATCGTGCGTCCTGACCGCAGTCAGCCCACTCACATCATGATGAACAGGGCTGTGCCAGGTGGGTCTGCGTGCCTTTCCCAGCAAGTGTTATCATTGCTGATCCACTCTCGATCCGCTGATAGCTTTCGGAGTGCCTTCATCATAATGCGGTATGTAACGGTCGGATCACACCGATCCAGTCCGATTCGTCGAAATTATTCAGAAGCCAAATTTTCAATGTTCTGAACTTCTTCGGTCTTCTTCAACTCTCCCAGAGTCCCAAATTCGGCAGCAACGTTGTCAAGCAAGATATTCTCTGGACCGGCAAGGAGGTCGTCTGGATTACGAGGTTCGGTCGAGAGCGCAGGCCCGGGGTGCTTCAAGATCCTGTGCAATCTTGACAGTAATGCCAGCCTCTTCACGAATGTGCATGTGGGCTTCTCAGCCTCTGCGGCTTTTACGCTGTGGTGTCGAAGGTTTGCACGAATTTCACAAAGCCTTGAAGTGTCTCAAATGTCTGAGAGATTACACCATCGCGTGAATTGTGTGGCCCTTGTGCCGAGATCAAAGAATGTGCACTCTACTTCACCTGTATGTTCTATCGAATTCAAACCAGATGCAAGTTACATCTCCGCGAGTCTGGGGTTCTGCCAGGTATTGCCAACCTCCCTTCACATCAGTTTTGGCGATGATCGGGCACAACCAATTTGGCACGACCGCTTGGTAAAACTTGTTTTGCCATAACACTAGACGCCGCCATGGGAAAGCAGTTGGATGATGTATTTTGATCAAGGCATATAAAACATGAACGATTGATGAGAAACACGCACACTCCGAAAAATGACGGACCCGAATGAAGTCAAGGTTGAAGCCCTTCTAAGCATCATCAACTCCTCCGCACGCGAAGCAATGGCGGAATACAAGAATACTGGACATGGAGTCCCTGGTGTGGACGCAGGCACCCTTCACCCCCTCGACTTCGCGACCGATACACTTGCCCTCAGAAAGGCAATCAGGCTGCTCGAGGGTGCATGCGAGCAATTGAACACAATACTGGCTCCCCCTCAACACACAACATACAATGTAAGTGCTGATTATAGACGGGCTTATATGCACTGTTACTTATCTTTTAGTTTGTTAATAATTACAGCTGGGCGTGCATAGACGTCGCCACGCAATCATGTATTGCAGACGTCTTGGAAAAACACCCGGAAGGTCTTAGTGTGGATGCATTGGCTGACGCAGTCAACCTCGACAAGACCAAGATCGCACGCGTCTTGCGATTTCTGGCCCTCAGGGGTTGCTTTAAAGAAGGTGACATGCATATTGTCGGTTCACAATTTTCTCTGAAGCCTTTGGTGTTATGCAGTCAAGCGAGACGTATTCGCAAATACACGACTCTCCCTCGTGCTCAAATCAACAAACGATGTTGTATTTTGTATACGAGATCAGCGAGACAATCCCAAATATGCTGCGATTCTCTATGAAACTATGATCGACCAAGAGTTTGCAATATCGAACGAAGTTGAAAAGTCCCCTCGAGCATTTACTCTCAGGAAGGAAGGCAAAAACAACAATTACTGGGAAATGGACGTAAGTTTTAGTTATCATACTGGCCTTTCATGCCTTACCATATTGCATAGGATGAAGCACGCAAAGTGTGTGCTGATTTTTCCGCTCATGACTGACTGATGGCTCACAATACACAGACATTTCACAAATGCATGATAGGCCATTCTGTGATCTATGGCTCGTATGCGGCGCTCCATTGTGAGAAATCAGCGTTTTTCGATCGTCAGCATGACTAAAGTGCGCCATAAGATTACCCTTGGGACAATGTATCGTCCGTGGTGGATGTTGGATCTGGAACCGGAACAATGTCTATTCCTCTGGCGAAAATGTTCCCTCATCTCAGAATAACCAATCAGGATCTCGCAGAAACTATGAAGCTGTCGAGAAATGTGAGTCCAGATATCAGGTCTACACCCAGCGGGCAAGTTATATTTGTATTTGCTCAGACATGGGAGAAGAAGGCTCCTGAGGCGCTACTCGACGGGCGCGTAGAGTTCGTGACATTGAATTTCTTGGAGGAGTCACCTGTTGCTGGAAAGGACGTTTACTACGTAAGTGCTAAGTTTGTTCCCATTCAGCGCGGGTTGCTCGATGATCTGGTATAGTTAAGGAGCATCATTCACGACTGGCCGGACGATGAAGCAAGTGTGATTCTCCACAATATCCGCAAAGTAATGGGACCAAACAGCCGAGTGTTGATTCGTGAGTCAGCTGCGTTTCAAAGTGGTGTTTTCTCTCTAGAACCAACGTTTTGTGACAGATGACTGTGTGCTCTTGCGCAAGTTCGAAGAGCCAGATGTAGGGGCTAATGGGTCTACTAAGGTGAGTTTCGAGTTTAGCTTGATGGTGATCATGCATTTAAAATTATAAGGCGCTCGAACCTACATTATTGAACTTCGGTAGTAACACACCTCACCAACACGATATGACGATGTGGCTTCTTTTCAATGGCAAGGAGCGAACCTTGAACGAATTCAAGAACATTGGGCAAGTTCCTTCCGTGCCCGGATACGTTGACGATGTTTAATTTGTTATGATTCGCAGGGCCAGTGCTGGTCTAGTACTCACCCAGACCTATGATCTTGTAGGGATGATGCTCATGGAGTTCAAAATAGATCAGGACTGATGGCGAACACAATTTGTGATATTATGTTCTCGTACTTTTACTCTCAATTGATCATTCCATGATTTAACGAAGACGACGACGACGACAAAGGAGACTCAGTCCTCTATCGATCGCGATCGATGAAGACTAACCCGTTCCTTACAGTTGATACTGTAAGCCTCCCTAGTGATTCCATCGGAAGCCTCTGCCCCTGCTGAACAATATCTATCGTGCTCTTATCCTGTAAATCGTCTACAACATCGAGACTCTGCATGCTAATGCACCTTTTACTCTACTCACTGGTGGCAATGCTAGCAACAGGTCCAGAGACAGCTCTACAAGTAGTGCCTTCTTCATTGTTTGCGAAATTGCGATATCGCATTGTGTCGACCGTTTCCAGCGAAACAGACATAATGGTAGGCAGCAGACGCTCGAGGATTTTCAACACATGCTTTGGGAGGTACTTAAAGCGGGGGGTAAAGCCACAGTCACAGTGTATGTATTCGGACAGAGAACTAGTTTCGTGGGATATTTCAGAATGTCAGAGATCTGGCCAGCCTGGGACAAAGTATGGGACATCGGCACCTCCGAATATTTCATCCTCTACCAATCGGGAAGGACATAAGTGATATATGTACATCAACGTTCAAGTTGCCTGTGTACCTTTGCGAGGAAGTTCACCCGGTTTACCTTTACCTTTACTGAATAACGTCTACACAGAAGCTTTTATAGATGTTCGGACCTGAAGTGTTACCTCATACTGGAACTGATCAAGGCTCCAAGTTGGAACAAGGCACCGTTAGGTGTGTGAGACAAATTTCGTCTGATGACTCAGTATACTTATGTCGAGAAATTTACGGTGGCGCTCAGCCAAAAGTCCCACGTGCGCTCACGTGGTCTCGATCTTTGCCCTTTTCGAGCCGGATCACTGCGTGACGGCGGTCGTGACGCGTGATTGCGCCAAACGGACGCAGATGGGTACGAAAAAAGCGGAGCGCGTGACGGCCGCCGACGCGCAGGTTCAGGCCTGCTCGCTCACTCGCTCACTAGGCTTTGTGTCTGATTTTCGTCGTTGGTGTGGACCTCCCGGACCTCAGGACATTCGAAACCAACTTGCAAGAATTTAGAAGGCACGCGGGAAAGACGGACTCGGAGGAAAGAAGCACGAAAGAGTTGGGGGAACTAACTAGCGCTGGGAAGGAGAGAGTACGGCGAGGAAGTACCTAGGGTAGAGAAGTAGGTGCGGGAATGTACAGTATCAACAGTCCTGGCATGTGGCCTTTGCAATATGAAGTGATTCGTGGTTATAGTACTTACAAGTTACGAGCGTTCGAGTGGGCAGCAGTAGTTGGTATGGTTCCGAAGTGAGAGTCCTCCGTGTCATTTGTTGCGACGGACACGCTCTCCTCATGCAGCCCGTGCCTTGTTGACGGCTGCAAGCAGTGGGGTGTGTCCCCGCTCGGCTTCTGGGTAGGCTGCAAGGAAGAGGGCTTCGTCTGACTGGTAACTGGAGGTGACGAGGAAGAAAGAATAAAAGAATGTGTGAGCGCCGACATGTGGATCGCAGCCGGAAGCACTCACTGGTTGATGAACTCGCGCGCAACAACGGCCCTGTTCTGGTACTGCATTGCGAGCTTCCAGTTCAGGCCTTGGTACCACTCCTGCAGCCAGTCCTTGAGTGGCGTCTTCAACCCTCTGTCGGGGTCACCGACGAGCCAGTGCGTGATGATGTTCCTCCAGGACTCAGCCTTCGGAGTCTTCAACCTGTTCGAACAGACGAGTGGCAGCCGTGGAATGACGAGACCGTTGCTTGGGAGTTGTTGAGTCGAGGCTGTGTGCGCAGCAGCAGATGGCAGTGGTCGAGTAGTTGGAGTGATGTGTGCGTGGCCATGGCTCCTGCGGACAGATGACAGAGGACGGGAGTGTGTTGGTGGTGGATGGACATGCTGAGGAGTTGAAATCTGAGGAGACTCTGCACTGGATGCGGAGACTCGGAGAAGGGTGAAGCGGGGATCTTCTTCGAGCTGTGTTGGAGGTAGGTGTCCAGCAGCCTTCAGGCAACTTGAAGTGGCCTGGACCATGCTGGTGAGTGACTGAAGTGAGTCGTTGACTGCACTGACGTCAACTCGCAAATGATTGACATCTGCGGTCATGGATGCATGAACCATGCGCAGCTCCTCAGTGGATGCTGGCCTCATGAGTGCCTGCTCGCCTGCAAGGGAGGATTCAGCTTTGTGGGAGAAAGGAGCAAGGGCATCACTGTAGTTGGTCTCATAAGTGTGTAGTTCGTCGAGAAGGTAACGAATGAGCGTGTTTCGCTGGGAATAGAATGAACGAGTGAGAGTGAGAAAAAAGTAGATCATTGAAGGCACATACCTGTTCACCATCAGCCCATCCTCCCCACCATCGAACCATGGCAAGTGACCACCGCTGACCAACCGGTGCGAACATAAACCAATACTGGGCACCTCCACGGCGGAAGCAGTGAGTCGAAAAATAGCCTAGGATGCCAGCACCTGTCGTTGCCTCGTCAATCCACTTTTGCACAGTGTCATGGGAGAGAGGCTGTCCAGGCTGCATGATGCCATTGGCACCCATCGAAGGGAAGATGAAGTCGTTTGGCCTGAGTGTGCGCCCGTAATGAAAAAACTCGAGCCATTTGATCCAGAGCAACATCCAGATGAAGCTGTCGCAGGAAGGCATGTCTGGGCGGGGAAATATCTTGTAGTGGTTGGCTGGTGTGAGGCACATACACCGCTACATCAGCAGGGCGTCACTTCATGCTAATCTGAATAGTGATGTGCGGGCCCGGCTCGGCCTGAAAGCCCCGGCTTGGGCTTTGCAAAACCTCAGGCCGAGCTGTGGGCCAAAGCCAGGCCAAAGCCGCAGCTTGGCTTGGGCTCAACGACGGCTTTCAAAAACAAAATGAGCAAGCGTGTCAATCTTCGCGGCAGGACGAGGGAAGCAGTCATTACAATATGCGTTGCAATGCCCCAGCCTATGATGAGAGCAGCTTTGTTGAGATTTTGTATCCCAGCGCCCAGCATCAAAAAGCCACAGATATAAAGCGGCATGGCTAAGTAACAGGTCCTACACAAATTCTCAGCTCTAACTTTGGACCATCACTTGAGTTTGCATACCACAAGCAGCTCTCAGCCTTGAGAAAACCACCGTTTTTGCGAATATGCAGATGGGAGGAGGAGATCCCATGAAGACAACATTTGTTGTCTACAAAAGTCGATAAGTTTTAGTGATGTGCGGGCCCGGCTCGAAAAGGTCAGCAAATGTACTAGTCAGCAACACAATTCATCTCACCTCAAAGAGAACTATGAAGAAAAACTGAGGACGCCAAGCGACATCCAAAGATGCCATTAGAACTTCCGGCCATCATTAGAACTTCTGACCATCGTGGTCTGTATTTTGCCATCTTGTACCCAGTGACGCCTATCAAAGTTTCAAATCGATATCGCAGTCCCGTAGAAATTTGCAGTGGCTTCAATGCAAGGTGCGCACAATCATACATACTGGTTCAGAAAAAGTCCATGCCACTATCTTAAGAAGAAAGAGTTACAAACACGGATTGAACACCTGCGGCGTGCATGGATAAATCGGACCTGTGCATGTTGGATTTGCGGAAGAGACTAGAGTAGCAATGGTTAGACAGATTTAGATATAGTAAATAAACTCGTACCTGATGTCCGGATGTCCACGGAAGTCTGTAACAGACGATTCGACTCCCTAAAGTAAGGATGCATTGATATTGATGATGGATGAGCAGGGACATAAAGCCGCGGCTTGAGCTGCCGGCTTCGGCTTTCCAACAGCTCAAGCCGGGCCCTGGGCCGTGGTCAGGCCCTGACTTGGGCCCGGCTCGGCTCGGCCTAATCAGGCTTGGCTTGGGCCGGCCCACGGCCTGAAGCCGGGCTGTGCACATCACTAAATCTGAATCAACTCACACCTAAGGTCTGCCTCGCAGATGCCCTTATCGACCCTTTTCTGTTATGCACTCAAATAGATCTGTTAGGCGGAGCCCTAAGAGGGGCATCGTCTGCTAACATTTGTGACGTAACCGGAAGGATCCGGTATAGTAAGTGAGGCTGGCGACAATAAGTCGGCAGCGATCACAGTACATGCATGTCACGTGACTTCATAGACGGATGTCTATGGAGTCGCTCAAGGTCAGGACTGTCTTGTCCGAACGATGAGGTCGATTGAGGTAGACTTAGTCGCGATGAGCAACTAAGAAAAGATACTAGAGACTGAAGCCAAAGGGGCGTTCAGAGAGAAGTATGTTCCAGGGAAGATTGAGTAGATTCAAGTTAGAGAATCTAGTACAGGGTGACCGACTACTTATACTAAGTGGAGAGGGTTAAGGGCAAGGCTACCGCACAGTAGGTAAGGGTAAAAGGGGAAGCGAGAATGGTATAGGTGCGTTGGCAACAGAGCCGGATTAGTGATGGGTGGTCGAATGTGGAATGAGACCAAGAAACGTTTGGAATGGACCAACGGTAAGAATACAACGTGCGGGAATCCGCAGTCAGAAGGAACAGAAAGAGGAAAGCCACATTGGTGGCACGAGTCAGACCGAGTCATAGGTGCGGGACCACATTGGTGGTCGAATCAGGGGAGGAATGTGCGTGCACGTGCATAGAGGCAGGCGATGCGAGGGACGGGAATGGTCCCGAGGATCCGGTCAACGGAAAGTCGGTAAAGGAGGACGAGCCGGTAGATGGTGAGGGCGAGGATGAAGGGAAAATGATAGGGGGGCCATGTGACCGATGTTACTTGTAACATTTTCTGCCATCCTTTTCGGTTCGAGAGGAATATTTCGAAATAGGTTGCTGTCGCTGAGTGTCAGTGGCTTGCGTGCCAGATACTTTTTTATGACGGTGTCCAGCAGGATTGTGTCGAGTGAGATGTCTTTGCGCTGCAGTTTCACGAGTTCGAAGCACCTACCAAAATGGTAAGTCAGCGAGTGCACATCAATTTCAGCAGGCGGGACAATACCTGCTCCATAAGGTCCATGTGCCAGCATCGAAAGTGACCTGTTCAAGATGGCGAGTGAGCTGGGTCCTTGTGTCGAGAGTCAGTTGGACCTGCAAAGGCAGTGTGCCGCTCATCACTAGCTGGATGGCCTGCAGTGCAATCTCCAGTGGGCATGCGGCCTCATGCCATTGAAGCATGCGATCCATGAAGTCTTTTGTCATTGCCATCGAGTGAGTTCGATCTCCGCCCTCTGCGCTGGCCTTGTGCTTGACAGATGCCATCATGTCGTAAACTTCCGCTGAGTCAGCTAGATTTCCCTCCCAGCGCTGTCTCGCCTCATTGAAACTCCACTTTCCACGAAACGTGCCACCATCCCTGGTACAAGTCAGTACTCTCAGTCTGTACTGGTCCTGCAGGGTGTTGCTCACGCTTGCTCCCAGAGCTTTTTGAATGCTGCACGGATACTTTCGACCGTGTTCTTGCTGAGGTTTTCATGGAACCCCTTCAGGGACATGAAGAGGGCCAGCGCCTTGTCGGAGCATCGGTTTGGCGTGCACCCGAACGCATCTTTGAAGGCAGGATCTGCATACACATCGCTGTCTGGATTGTCTCTAATGAAAGAGGGCACTGACAGTGCCACCGGCTGTACCAAAGGCTCTTTGGGCACTGAGCAGTCCCCCTCGTCAGCGGAGCAGCTTGGTGCATCAAAATGGCTCGCGAGCCACTCACGTCCCCAGCGTACATGGCCAGCATAGCTGCTCCTGGTCTTGTTTGCTTGGAGGTGCGTTTCAATTCCAAGTTCCTTGCATTTCTGGATGTCAGCCAAAGCTGACTTCGGGATAGCTGATTCTTTCCTCCGCCTCAGCTTCTTTTGAACGACGTCCGATGCCCCCTTCTTTGATCGTGCCATGTGGGAGGTAAAACACAAGACAGAGGTAATTGGTGGGACAGTTCCGAAATTTCAGAGGGTATGATGTCACTCCGTGTTTTAAAATTCACTTGGCTCTCAATTTTGATTGACCTGCACTGTCATAACACATAGTAGACTACACTAGTAAAGCATCACACTGAATTTCAACTACATACTGAGCACAAGAGTGAGTACTGTAGGATACCATCTGCCAAACCAAACACTAGCGCATACAGAACCATGATGCTGCTGCCGCAACCCCAAGCTTTCTTGAACTAGTCCTGCACTCGCGCTGAGAGAAGCTGTTATGGATGTGATTCGTATGAAAACCTACCTTGACCGTCATGTTCTCAAACTCAAAGTTTCCAGCATTGGCAACCAATCCTTGGATATTTTCGAGGCCCGGCCGGTGGACAAGCATGACAGAAATGCCCTGCCTGAACTGTGGCGAATCTGGGCGGAGGTCCAGTGCACGAACATTGTTCTGCTTGAGAACAGCAAGAGCGGTGGTCTGAAACCAGTGGACGAGCGTGACAGAAGCACCCTTGAAGGAGTTCTTGAACTGGCTGAACTGTGGCGAATCTGGGCGGAGGTCCAGTGCACAAACATCGTTCTGCTTGAGAACAGCAAGAGTGGCGGTCTGAAACTGGTGGACAAGCGTGACAGAAACACCCTTGAAGGAGTTCTGGGCAGAGGTCCAGTGCATGAATGTTGTTCTGCTTGAGAACAGCAAGAGCGGCGGTCTGAAACTGGTGGACGAGCGTGACAGAAATGCCCTTGAAGGAGTTCTTGAACTGGCAGAACTGTGGCGAATCTGGGCGGAGGTCCGGTGCATGAACATTGTTCTGCTTGAGAACAGCAAGAGCAGCGGTCTGAAACTGGTGGACGAGTGTGACAGAAGCACCCTTGAAGAAGTTCTTTATTGCTGGACATCCCTCCAAGAATGGGACACTGGGTCCAGCCAACGGATTCTTGCTGAAGTGGTTGAAATGAATATTAGCATTAAAAAAATGGCCCCAAGTCAGATTCAAAAAGCAAAGGGACTCAGAGTATGAGTACGTCACGCACTGGACATCCGGATAACCTACAAAAGGCTTGTCCGGACATGCGCAACCTACCGAGTTGGTTCACCTACAGAAGGCCGGCCAGCTCGGGAAGAGATGATGGAATGTTCCAAGTAGAACTTGAAGGAGGAACAAGTAAACAAAGACTTACACGAAAGACGACTCTGGCAATGATCCAAGGCAGTATCATCATATGACGAATAGTAGTAGTGTTTCTAGATGAGAATGTCAGTCAAAGGTATGCTGAAAAGTTTGATTGTACCTTCTAATCACACAAAACCGCAGTGTTACAGTAGCACACCATGCGGGGGGGCAACGTTAACGACCGTCGAGATTTGGACCGTGGTGTTGTACCTGTTCTGCCTGTGACAAATAGTTTTAGATATCCTACAGGTGAAAAAATAATCAATATTCGATGTACGCAACTTCCAATTGTGCCAGGATGGGCATTCACAGATTTCAAGGTGCAAGGAAGCTTTTTAGACCGAGTCATTGTGGATTTGACATGGGCGCGTTCCCTTCAGAGTATCTATGTAATGTTATCGCGCACACCTAAATTGAGCCACGTAGCAATTCTGAGATGGTTTTCATCTAGGACACTGAATTCTGACTTACAAGGTGACGCATGAGCAGAACTGAAGCGATTGAATATTGTGGTGAGAGACACCCGGCAGAGATATCTTACACGGGGAATCCAAAGGACAAAAGAGACGATGCCAGCGATTCTATCTCTTCGGCCAAAGTCAATTATATGCGAGGAGGTTAGCTAGCACAGAGCACAATCCTCAGTAGGTAGAGAGTGTAGCTGGAATGACGGGACTATGGTGAGTCCTTGTAACCAAACGATTTCGAAAGCACGACTCACATTTCATGGGCTCTCGTGATGTCGATTGTAGGTTTTGGTAGTCTTCGATGTCTTGTCAAGACAACACAGCGAAATGTAAGCTGAGGATGAGGGTGGAGCGAAGGAAAGTCTAACCTTGGGGTGTATTTTGAGATTGGGATGCCAATGCGGATAGTTTCTGCTCAATTTGCTATTCGATGTATTAGAATACTTCAGGGTGTTACCAAAAATACGGCATCATACTTCGATAGTGTTTTTGAACCACTGCAGACGCTCCTGCATCTCTTGCGTGACACGGGTGAAGAATCTAGCCAGCAACATGTCAACACTTTCAAGTTACTTCACATCGATGATCTACACATACTCCAGAGGGAACAAAGCATGATTCTTGAGATATGCTGCGCTCTGATGCGGGTTTTTAAAGCCCTCGATGATGTTGGTTGCGACAATCGTGTCTTGAACTGCTTGTTCAGTCTTCACTTTCAGGTCCTTGGTGAAGAGAGAGTCCGACTGAATAACGGAGGATACACCAAGCAGCTCCTGAATCGATAAAGTCGGTAACCGAACATACTGGATATATGCAATAAAATGAGGCGCACCTTGTGCAATTCACGAATTAACTCCTGGCCCTTGATCGCCTCTTCCCCCATTTTTTGCTGTTTAAGCTCGTTGCTTATTTGTATACATCCCTGAATGTGCGAGCTATGCGAAGTAAGTCCTAGGACATGTTAGCACTTATGATTAGCGTACTCGATAGTTTCAAATGTCCTCTTGATATCATCTGGAAGATCATTAAACTTCGTAGATTTTGAAAAAAGGTGCAGGTCCGGTTATGGGTGTGGTACTACTCGAATGTCATTGAAGCCACCCTGAATATAAGTACCTTTGACTAACCTCATCATCCTGCGATATGTCAACACCAATTTGAATTAGAACGATGTGAAAGGAACTCACAATGATTGTCTTTGTTGACTAGTAGACTGTTGCGGCTGAGTGAATAGGATACCCAGGACAATTTCACGATGAACAGGGAGAATTCTGGCGCAGGGTCAGCGGGGTAAGCGAGCAATAAAGGAAGATCACTTACCTATAAATTTCGCTACTGGGGAAGGGTGTGTGCAATACGGGGGGCCAACGTTAACGACTGTTGAGGAAGATGGGAGGCGACAGAGAAGAGACATCATGTGTCATGTGACCGTATTGTCTAAGTCACCATTTATGGCAACTGAGTAGGATGGGGAGGGCGGAGGGACAGGCGAGGTAGAGTAAAGTGCGAATTCTGGTGGGTAAAGTGAGTGAAGTGCAGGACAGTGAAAATTTTACGGTAAAGTTTGTAAAGTTTGTAAATTTTCCCGGCAGGCGCGTGCGCCTGCCGGGATATCCCTCAACATCTACTAATAATTGTAAATTTTCACTCACCTTCTCGTTGATTCACAACGGGAGGCCTGCAGAACCAAGGTGCGACTCTGATGCATCTTTGTCGTTCTCGCACCCTCATTTGAAATCTTTGATTTCACACTTGCATTCATTCTGAATTTCTGACCGTGACTTTGTGCTATTAAATGATTGTCCGTGGAATCATGTATGACAGTCTCCTACTACTCTACTGATACAATCCGTCTATCCATCCGTCTTCTAAGCCCAACCGTCCGTTGTCGCAGCTGCATCTACCGTCATGGGGGCCGTGCGTAGGTATCTTCAGGTTGCTCGGTGTTGTGTGACCGTGACATACCCTTGTTGGGTAGCGGAGGAATCTTGGGAGGAATCAGACTCCTACCCAGCCACCCGTGGGGAGAAGTCCTCTGAACCTAGAACCGATACAAATAAAACCATACATTAGTCATCATACTATAGCCGAAATTTTGGAGGACAACTCCCCACAAGCGACTGGCAAAACTTGTTGTGGCGTGAAAGTTGAACACTGTTTGTCTCACCTAAAAAATTCAGACCTAAGTATGAGTCAGCAATGAGCTCCCGCCTCCCGCCCCGCTGCTCCCATATATGGTATCTTCATCTATCTCGACAATCTATTACGCGATCAATGTCTGCTCTACGATATACAATCCCAGATGCTTCAATGATTGAAGACACTGTTAGTGTTACTTTTGACATCGCGCCGTGCAAGTTCCAGTTGGAATGTGCACGCGCACAACTAGATCGGAAAGATGTCATTACCATTGCTCCGACAGGTGCGGGTAAAACGCTAATGTTCTGGATCCCCCTGCTATTCAATAATAACGGGATCGTAATCCTCATTACCGCACTCAATGGGCTCGGCGACCAAAACATCCAGGAGTTGCACCAGCTAGGTATCTCAGCAGTCAATGTAACTGGCGCAAATGCAACAGATGACACGATTCAAGGTATGTCAAGTCTTGTTCACTATTATCATTCTGAGTTATGGAGCAGGAATCAAGAGCCGTAAATATCAAGTAATTATCGCGAGCCCTGAGATCATTCTCGGTGACCGGCGTTTTGATGATCTATGGAGAACGAGGGACTTCACGGCACACTTGTTCAATGTCACTGTCGACGAGGGGCACTGTATCAGTCAATGGGGAAAGGACTTCCGTCCCAAATATAGTCAACTCGGAAGACTTCGCTGGCTGCTTCCGTCACATGTACCATTTCATGTCGTCTCAGCAACCTTACCAGCACACATCCTAAAAGACGTCTTGGTATCCCTGAATATGTGGGATGAGAACACTTGCATGATCCGACTTTTGAATCACTGACAAAACATACAGGTTGCTGTTGTTGAGATGCTCCATTCAGCAAATAGCTTCCACGACATCAACCGCATCCTTCACTTATCGCAAGGAATACATCCCCCGAAGTTCATGATATTCTGTAACTCGAGACAAGACACACAGAGAATGACCAAGTACCTCCACAGTCAGCTGTGACCAGAACTCCAACATAACATCGTTTGGTTTCACTCCGGAATGACGCAGGAATTTAGAACTGACATGATGGCGAAGTTGCGCAGAGGTGAATTATGGGGGATGTGTTGTGCAGATGCTGCAGGAATGGTCAGTTCGTTCCGTCTCACTGGTCTCAGCTCAATGATACATGTTAACAGGGTCTGGACATTCGGGACGTCGAGTTAGTGTTACAGGCATCCGTAACACCTACAGGAGCCCCAGCTCTGCCTACACCTGCCCCCGCTCTGCTAGACTCCCCGCGCGGCGGTGCGCCGCCCGCGCCTAGAAAGACAGCGGTCTGGACCGCTGTGACGCCGCCCCTGGCACTATGACCCGCCCCTGGCCTAGATGGCCTTGTGCCTGATCCATGGAGGCTGTACGCCTCATGGTCACCCTAGATCAGCGCATGTATACAGCATGTCGCTTCATGAAGATCCGGAGCACTCTTGGCGCTTCCTGTACCTATGCGCAGTCACACTTGGCGCTGCATGCTTGATCAGAGGTTAAGCCTCATGTACTTATCTGAACCTCATGTCTTGTTATCTTAGATCCTAGATATACAATAGATTACAGACTGAGCTTGAACACTTACATGTAGCACATATAAGTAGACAGATTATTGTACTTAGACTTTACTTTAATCTACTAGGTTCATCCCAGAACTTGTTCAACTAAGCCTTACCAGCTTCCTTGTATAAGACCGCACTTCTAAGTCGCCCCCTTACGACTTAGCACGTATCCGCTAGCCCTGTATCTCGATGAGCGCCGTCTTACCGAGATCACCGGAGGAACCCTTGACATTCTGTCAAGCCGAGAACCACCCTCAGCTTCAGTAGACTCACTCGAGTCGTCGCTGAGAAGACCTATCCTAGTTCGCACACGCCGACTGATGGTCAGCGTAACAGTTAGTAGTCCAATGGGGATATATACACAGTCTCTGTACCTTGATGCAAAGGTTAGGCCGTGCTGCTCGAGATCCCTCCATTGAGGCAAGCGGTATTTATTTTGTTGAAAAGGATTATAAGAGGAAGGGAAAAGGAAAAAGGGCGAATGGGAAACAGAAAGCAAGAGCCCAACAAGATTCCCTGAAGAAGGCAGCATGTCTGGAAGGAGTTGTGAAGAGAAGTAATCATGATGACGAGAGCAGTGATAGCAGCGGTGAATCAGATGGTGGAATCAATGATACCCTTGCATCTTGTAGGAATACTACTGGAGTCGGCACATCCACGAGCTCTGAAAAAATCCTGTTGTCATCTACTGGTTTGGACATAGATGAATTTGAGGTAGCAGCCATGGAACTTTTCATTGAGGCTGGAAACCGAACAATTTGTAGATGCAGAATCGCAGACAAATATTTTGGGAATAATCTGATCAGTGAGTCATTCTATTCTAATATTTGGTAGTCATTGTCTTGACACCTATAATATAAGAGAACAATAATGACTCGGATGTCTGCTGTAAAAGATGTGAGAAGCGGACAACAAGGCCGCGCTTCTGCTGTGACATTTGCACTCCCCACGTGTTCTTACTTTTCTACACCTCACCTCCAGTAAAGCCCAAGCGAAAACGGAAAACTAAGCTTCCCGCTTATCAAATGGATCCAAGAGACTATGCACTACAGACTGACCTCAAGACCTGGCGCCAGAAGATGCTTGTTGATTTGGGGATCAATGATACATTTTTCGGTCCCGCCCTTATTCTTCCTGATACAATCTTAACGTGCATCATCAACCTCTCCCACCACTCAAAGCTATCTGATGTTGCTTCCCTCCGAGACTTAACGGACTGGTGCTATGCCGACGACTATGGTAGAAATATCTTGGATTTGGTTCACAAGCACTATCCCTCACCAATGGCTGTGCAAGCACCGCAACCTAACATGCTTGGGAATATGTCCAACGTGGTGTCACTCCCAACATCATCCAATACGCTCAACCCATCAGCCCACTCTGCAAATGTTCCTAAGAAACCACGCAAAGTAACTGTGTGTTCTAAATGCAAGCAATCCGGCCATAATTGTTATGCTGACCATCGGTCGGCGTGTGCGAACTAGGATAGGTCTTCTCAGCAACGACTCGAGTGAGTCTACTGAAGCTGAGGGTGGTTCTCGGCTTGACAGAACGTCAAGGGTTCCTCCGGTGATCTCGGTAAGACGGCGCTCGTCGAGATACAGGGCTAGCAGATACGGCTAAGAAGTGGGGAGCGTCTTAGAAGTGCGGTCTTATACAAGAAAGCTGAGAGGCTTAGTTGAACAAGTTCTGGGATGAACCTAGTAGATTAAAGTAAAGTACAAGTACAATAATCTGTCTACTTATATGTGCTACATATAGGTATTCTAGCTCAGTCTGTAATCAATAGTATATCTAGGATCTATGATAACAAGACATGAGGTCAGATAAGATACATGAGGCTTAACCTCTGATCAAGCATGCAGCACCAAGTGCGACTGCACATAGGTACATGAGGCGCCAAGGGCGCTCCAGATCTTCATGAAGTGACATGCTGTATGCATGCGCTGATCTAGGGTGTCCATGAGGTGCACAGCCTCCATGGATCAGGTACAAGGCCGTCTAGGCCAGGGGCGGGGTCATAGTGCCAGGGGCGGGGTCATAGCGGTCCAGACCGCTGTCTTTCTGGGCGCGGGCAGCGCACCGCCGCATGGGGAGTCTAGCAGAGCGGGGGCTGGCGTAGGCAGAGCTGGGGCTCCTGTAGGTGTTACGGATGCCTGTAACAATAATGGTATGTCCATCGTTCTATTCTGCAACCTGCCGATTGAGTCTTTCTTAACAGCAAGGAACCGTCTTTGCCCAATGCGCGCAGGTCCTTCTGACACCAAACTCAATCAAGAAAACATTCTCCCTAGCAGCACTACTAGTGTCAATAATCAATGACGTCCTCCACCCCCACTACATCCACTTCTCCATCACAGTCCATTAGCGCTTCCTTGTCTTGTACCAACATAATCATCCCCACGCCAATCTCATCCTCCACTTGACAGTCAGCATGTCTTCTGGCCATAAATATATGTGGTGAGTGCCTTCGTATTTCATCACACAGTTTTTGCAAAGTTTTTGTCATGTTCGGTGGTGCATGTTTTATGGTGCGCTGTTTGAGATGGAATCCATTCTCAATCATGACGTGGCATTCCCGGTAGAGTTCAATCAGAGGGGACTCATTGATGATGTGTTGGATTGTACGATTCGATCCTTTCCCTGCAAAAATGACCTGTTTTCTCGTCATGTCGTGCTTCAGTCTGCTGATAGACACATCATACCTTCGTATACAGGTTATTTCGTTCTACCAGCCAATCCACGGGTCGAAATTTGAAGGCCTTTCCGGTCAGGTTGCAAAGCCAATTCAGTCGGATTAGTTGTCTGTAGGTATTATATTTTCCGGTCAATGTGTAACACAGTGACAGAAACACACACTGTAGGTCCTCAGGATAAATGTACCGCATCTGTACCATAAAGCGAGCTGTATGATATGCATATTTGTGCTTTTTTGTCGCTTTGAATATGTAGATCCACGACAAGAAAGAGGCCTCGACTTGTCCGATATCACCACTGTTCATCGCATGACAGAGATCAACATAGAGTAGTTCGTTGCGGTTGCGCAACACCTGATTTTCAAATCGCTGATCACGCTCTTGTCTAGGTCGTTGACGCAGGTTCATGAGTGTTGTTGTATTGGCAACAAACTTGTTGATTATGGACTCTGACATCTCGACAATCAACTCCCATGATGGCGCACATTTCGCGAACACTTCGAGTGAGTCCCATGTGCTGTTTCTTGTTTGAGCCTCCACCAGCCAACAATCTAATATCGACGCCCATAGATCGTGATGCAGAACGTCATGCTGTTACGACAAACGGTCATGTGCGACTAGGATGATCTAAACAGCGACAACCACGACAGTGGTACCAAGTGCTGAGAGTCGTCGGCCTTTACAGACAAGCAAAGGTTGCGTACTCGAACGTAGCTCGTGGTGGTTAACAAGGGGTTACGCTGAGATGATAGCAGGGTTTACAGACAGTGAGAGGCATCACTGAAGGTACGAGTCGATGTCGAGCAGGTAGCTTTAGCGGGACAAGGAGTTCAAGGGTAAACCTAGTAAGATTAAAGTAAGGAACATCTACTTTAATCTTCGACCTTATATAAGGCTACTCTTCGTATCTAAGCTCAGCCTAAAGCTGGGTTCTAATCTGCTTATCTACATGAGTCAGAGATAGCGTCCATGAGGCGGGCTTCTATCGTAGATAGGGTCCATGCGGTACCCTTCTATCAGTACATGAGGCAGCACGAGGCTTGCCTTCTATCTTGATAACATAAATAGGTCTTCTAGACCTATGTCGTCATGTGTCGTCACGTGCGGTCCAGACCGCTTATCTAAGCCGGCAGTTGCCGCTTATCGTCTATCATCATCTATCGTCATGATCGTCATAGAGCTGGTGAGACTCCAGTATCGTCTATAGCCGTGCGGTGGCAGAGGGCTGTCTGCTGGCGGGGGACTCATGCCATGTTACTGTAACACATGCATCCATCGAAACCCTGGCTTTGATGCAAACTTTCCACTTTCATGGGGCCTCAAGATACCAACATGTTGCCAAAGGCTATTGACATCTGTTCGACCAGCTTGTGGTTGGATCCACGTATGCCATAGTGCATCAGCACACGCCATTTTGAAGTGAAAGAGACCAGGAACAAACACGACATGCTGAAAGCAGCATTTAGGTGTGTCCTCGATACGTCGTGATTTGATGATCGTGTCTAATCGTTCCTTGGTCAAAAGGTCTCCATGGACGAGGAGGACGTGCTCGGACATATCAACATAATACTGTGGATCAAATCTGATGTCTTCACGCTCCCCAATTCCACCTTGTCTCAAAAGGGCATCCATCACCTCGATATTTCCATCAGTTGTTGATTGTTTGATGGGCATTGCTCGGCAAGGTATTTGTCTTGTCTTGTGCAGCGGGATGGCATTGATAACGACTGGATTATCATGGTGATGTTTTAGGAAGTCAAAATGCTTGCCGTGGTTGAGCAGGATGTCACAAACATGCCAGGCAAAATTCTCCTCGCGTGGCGATAGATATTTCCCTGGTGGGATTGTCCCATAAGAATTTTCTTGATGGAAAATGCGCAAATCCTTTGCTGTGAGTTTCCCAGAAGCCAGGGATGCTCTCACTATACCACTTGATTCATTCTGCCATATCTCATGCGAGCAGCGAAGGACCGCAGGGTTATTAACACCATACAATGGTATTGCGGTTGCAGAAGTCGAACTAATGAATTGGGATTGGTGCTCGATTGTGGGCTGTGCGGTCTTAAAATCAATGTCAAAGTTGTTGTAGGCAAGTGCTGTTGTCAATGTCCAGTACAGCTTGTTTGATTTGAACATTTGCTTCTTTTGACAAGGATCTCACGGCTGTCGCGATGGATTGTGTGCTGATGGAGACACCGGCATGCGCGAGTGCATCTATAACTCGTTGTGGGGTGCCAGTTGAGTGCAAAAATATACCGAAGATGCACTGGAATGTATTGCAGCGCTCATTTGAACTCTGCGCAAAGATGCATGCACATGTCATGGTTTTCTTCAGTCAGTCAGGTGAGTACTGTGTCTTGTTGTTTTGAGAAGTGTCACGAACTATTATCATTAGTGCTGCATTCCTGTTCTCCAGCTCGTCGTTGCCGTTTCTGTGCTTTCGGATTGTTTTCATCATCATGCTTCCTTTTATTCGAATTGTCGATCATGGTGGAATCATCCCCTCCAAACTCATCTAAGTCCATCTCCTCATCCTCATGCCCATCCTCCTCATATTCTCGCAGCATCTCTTCTATGTCCGCTGCTGAAAATTCTCGCCTTCACCCTGGGTTTGCATCCAGAAGTGTGAGCAACATTTTAAACATATTCGGTGTGATCTTTTTGATTTTCAGTGCAAGCATGTGGATGAATGAATCTTCAAGTTGCGTAGATGTTGTTTTTGATGCTTTGAAATGCAGTCCATTGCACTCACTCGACAGATCGACCATCTCGTCACAAAGAACCCTGACAACGACTTCAAATGCCCAACCAAAGACAACCTCATGACATCCAGTGGACAAGAAGAGAAGACGGCATATTTCAGCCACGTGTTGCTGAAGTGAGTCCTTTATTGGCTGATAGTTTTGCTGTGGTGTTGATATTATTGTTTTTGTAAGGTCCAAGAGCGATACTTCATTTGCAAGCATAAGCCGGAGGACACTGTCCACAGCATTGTCTGGAGGAATGGCGGGCATCCTGCCACAAAAGGAAGGGGGTTACAGCTAACTTCTCATTGTCTCGTAGGTATACTATTTTAAATGTAATGCTGCAGTGCTCTATTACAAGTTCAATGTGTATGTGTACGTACTATGAAAGAACATGACCATATATGGGAGCAGCAGGGGCAGGGAGGCGGGAGCTCATTGCTGACTCATACTTAGGTCTGAATTTTTTAGGTGAGACAAACAGTGTTCAACTTTCGCGCCACAACAAGTTTTGCCAGTCGCTCGTGGGGAGTTGTCCTCCAAAATTTCAGGCTATAGTATGATGACTAATGTATGGTTTTATTTGTATCAGGTTCTAGGTTCAGAGGACTTCTCCCCACGGGTGGCTGGGTAGGAGTCTGGGGAGGAATCTGCTTTACAGCGTTTACATTAGGTAATCGTAAATTTTCGCAGATAAACATACTTAAGGCTGTGGACGTAGAGGCGTGCACAGCCCAGCGCTTGCACGTGATCAACCGAATCAAAATCAGTCCTCGTTGCCAAACTTCAAGTTGGCACAAGATCCCTGGTGGTCATCATGCCTCAGGCCAGCCTATTATTTTCATAGCAACGTATCACACCTGCTGTTCAAGCTCTGAATCTTATCCGATAGTTCTGTCATCTGCGCGCCATGCACAGCGCTCAGCACTGCAATTCAAGTGATTTGAGTTGAATCTTTTTGCCAAACGCTCATACACTGGAACGCGTGTATGTCCACGGTGCAGTCCACCATGCGGTGCTATCTTACATAGTAATGGAAGCACATCCACGAGACAGGGTTTCGCGGCATGCTCACATGCTTGCATGATGGCACGGTTCGCGGGTACTGGCAGCGCTCATTTATGGTTTGATGCAGGTTCATTGAATTCCCCACTGTCATGGCCAGGTTACCACAGCACTTTTGATTGAAGTAGACTGAAAACTTTTTATCTCCACAGCGTAACGGTTTTGGAATCGGAGGGAGAGAAATGGTATCGGCGGTTCTTGTGAATTCATACTTCAACTATTACGTCGGACCCACATCAGTACTGGCAGTCACTTGTCGGGTCTGGCCTCGTCGGTCTAACCCTGGTCCGATTGATACATATCTCGGTATCACTATGATTACAGGTCGCCAACTTCTTACTGAATTCAGTCCCTCCACCATCCCGATTACTTCGGTACACTTGGCCCCTTCGAGACGTCATAACACGCATACGCGAGACATGATATGAATACCATGCCAGTCGCGTGGCTGATCTGATCACATCCCCAATCGACGGATCAAAAATTTGATTTACCCGGTGCCACGAAGGCTTTCCCGGACCCTCGCCACATAGTCCAACATGAAATCGATTTGGTAACCCGGTCTCTTGTATTGATCCGCACTGAATAACATTGGCATACTGACCAGTATCATTCATTCAACTTGCCTATTTGAAGGTTGCAACGACACAGCGCGTAACCAATGTATCTCTTCCACCACCATTGTAAGGAAATTTCACAAACCTGAGAGCTTAGTGGAAATCTGGCGATCCAAGCCAACGCTCGCACCTCTTGTCGCGCTTCGGTGGGGAATAGCGCCATAGAGCAGGCAAGCTAAAAGCCATAAAGGCAACTCATCTGCAGAACCCAGAAGACACATAAACCAACTCCACGTAAACCAACTCCTCTCTGATCCAATATGAACCCAGTTCGGTTCGTGATAACATTCTCCACCTTTTTTATGGCTCACTGTTATTTGTTTTAGTTCGGCTGACAAGTCCATGGTCCAAGATATGCTCCTGGAATTGAATGGGGCGAATCCCATCCTGATCGCTCGGGATGCTCTGCATGAACATGATACCGAGGTCAGAGTGCACCCGTGTGACTGGAAGGGGGGCTGCAGGATGCACATTCCTGTGGAGCTCAAGCAGGTTTCTAAACATCTCAAGCAACATCATGATATCAACACTAGTGCCACCAGCGGGGACACGCAAAAAATCGCCTGTCTTTGGACTGGTTGTCTCGATACCCATATGAAACCAGGCAATCTCTCACGTCATGTCCTGACGCAACATCTTGGGGTACGATGGATTTGCTCGAATTGTGGGTCTTCATTCTCGCGAGAGGATGCCTTTCGACGACATTCGCTCGAAAGTTTGAGCTGCCAGTCTGCGGAAGTCGTTGTTGACTACGGAGACGGATCACGGGTGATTGACCTAGTGTACATTGATGGAGGCTGGTCGGCTAGCCAGAACGTCATATTGATATAGTCCTCGGTGTTACCTTACAGTGACATCCCTATTGTTTTGTATTCCAACCTCGTATGTATCTCCCTATAGCTCCTGCAATCCGTCATTAGTAATGTCCTACCGTATACTCCTACTTGGTTAATCTACACTATTTGTACTGGAAATTGTGTATTTGTTCCTTGGATTTCGTTGTGGTGTCGACCATTAAGTTGTTTGATTGTCTGCAGACCAAGGTACAAAATTTTCAGTCCCATCCAACCACCTTCCAAGGCCTGAATTTGACCCCTACAACTTGAGTCATTTTGCTTGCTTCTATATGGCAGTGCGTTAGAGGGATAGAAGTTGATATAAGCATAGGTTCGGCAATACATACGTCCACGGATCAATATCAAATTAAAATGACAAAAACGAGTATACACACATGACGATACTGAAGTCCTCAGTAATGTGCATAATAAGCTGCAATGTATGACAGAAAAATCATAGCCACAACAGACGACAACGTTTGGTAGGAGTATCATTCGGATTCTCTGCACTCCTCTCGGTTTGGATTCTTTAGGTGGCGCAGTTTAGAATCTAACCGAGCAAATTGCTTTCCACAACTACCGTATTCCGTTTTGTTGTCCAAATGAACCGCAACGATGTGCTGCGATATGCTCTCCTTCTTCATTTTCTTCACGCAGCCCATCGGCATGAAATCCTATCTTTGTCGCCGCCAGGTTTTACACCGTGTAGTTGGAGGTGTTTCGCCACTTCGGACTTGTCGACAGTCAGAAGTGAGAAGTAGGACCCACCCATCCCAGCCGCAGAAGCTTGAGGTGCCATTCATATCGTCCATCAATAATGTACAGACACTCTTTCTCTCCTCCGGCCACGATGGTGTAGGTGAATGAAGATCAACTCCGCTGCCAAAACTAGATAGATAACCATCGCCGAAGCTCCACGTTTGGGATGAAGCGTCATTCATAGAGGGGGTCATGGAAAGCTCTGGAGGGAAGCTGTTGGGAAACTCGGGAAAAGGTTCCGGGTTGAATAAATATTCAGGCCCACTAAGATAAGGTGCATCCAGGTGTGTGGAGAGTGTGTAGTGAGTGTGTAGTGACCTGTGACCACTCCGCCACCGTTCGGCTGCCAAGCCGTGGCGAAAACAAGGTACCAGCAGTGTAACGTAAAAAGACCTCAGAAACCTTGTCGGTTCTGATAATTAGTAAGTAGTACCTTTGGAAAATACTCAACTCAAATATCCTCCAAGTAGCTCTGCGTTCTTCGAATAAACGACGAATGAATTTAATTGGCTGAGACCTTGTGGGAAAAAATAAGCATAAAACTATGTGATTTTATCACCAGAAAATTGCCCGAAGCTGTCACTACCGCTCAACATATATCCTAATTTGGTAGTCTCAAAACATTAACATTTTCTGGCCAGCCTAAGCCTCACTCTGCGTACAGTAGGCTTGCACAATAAATAGTAGCTAAGATACACTCAACAAGACATGCTGAACTAACATATATACTACCAATATCAGAGGGAGTGCAGCTACAATGCTCTGTACCTCATTTGCAAGGAAAAGAGCGAAAATATCAATGGACTTATTATGTAAGGTCCATGCGGTGAGCGAGGTCTTCACTGAGTTTTTGCTCGTACCTTGCTCGGTGGGAGCCGAACAATTTCCGAGTGGTAACAGGTCACTCCAAGGTCACTCATGTGTGTCTGTTGTCTGGATCAAGAGCGGTGTGTGGACGGCTCGGACCCGAACCGAGCTGCGGCAGCTTTAGTTGTTACTGTGGTCAAGTCGAACAGTGGCCACGGTGGCTCATAAATTTTGAAGTTGCTAAGCCTCGCTTTGTTATTCATCGTCATCGGCACGCAGGTTTCAAATCGCCAGCTTTGCCTTCGGTTGAAGAAGATTTCCATTAAACAGTGACGCCAGCTCGAACTTGGAAAGGCACGCTTCAAGTTCATTTATCATGCACAGGTTAGTATCGGGGCCGGGAACTATGACTGATATGCCAGTGGGGCATCTTATCACACAATAAAAGTTTGATTTGACGCCATGTAGTAGATATGGGGTAATCGGTAAGAGGTTGGTACCTACCGGTGACTGTGCTAACACTGCTGCTAGCGCTTCGCTGAGCCCCCTAGATATGCAGCTATGCCTCTTCGGGCCTCTATACAAAATGTATTTAATAGGACGGTGACCCACCCTCCATACTTGCAACTCGGACCCACCCATCCTTCTCATTCTATTGAACTCGAAGACTATCACAAATCTTCCTCCAAGACTTTGAGTTTTACTGTGAGTTGCAATACTTCATGCTCCGACGCTGAACCCGACTCTAACTCTTCAAAATGTATTGACAGGAACAAGTCTTGTGCGAACTCTATTGCAACCTTCATTATTCGAATTCCAGCGATACATACTATGTGGGTGTTGGGACCGCAATCTTCTTGAACGAATGCTACTAAAGTTCCTATCTTTTGCAGTACAGCAGCACATGAATTGGGTTTTGGTAATCATAGGCAACAGTGCCGGCGCCAAGCTGTGGTTCAGTGATGGCCAGCCCATCGGAGCAATCCGTGGCGGGTGCGAGTCGAGTCACAGGCTGATCATTGACAAACAAGGTTTCATCGATATCACTGTACCCTACTCAGTACTTCCGTCCATCGTCGACCTGAACAACACAGTCGCTATCTGCCCAGAAGATTCGGTGAACATCAACCTCACAATTCCCGGAGATGGTTCTTTCTCGTTCTCAATCACTCCATCTACGTCCGTTCACAGATCTGTCTTGACGGGGACGTTAAAGCCACTGCCAGAGGTGTTGGATGTTGATGCATCATTTTTCGACAAGATGATGGACTTGCACTATGTGCCATACCAAGACATACCAGACGCGCCAGGCAGGGACGTAGAAGAGATTAAAGCTTTAGGGCTACGTCACTTTCCATTCTCGCCACACAGCTTTCAGCTGGCATTGGCGGTGTATGACTGGACGACTGCATCATTTGCGCGTATGGTGGTGATGAAAATATTCGAGTACACTAGCATCCCAACCACACCGTATCCTCTTGACTCTCCAAATATCGCAACCGCGATCTGGAAGTCAAACTGGGGCTCGTACGTTCCAACCAACAAGGCCTACATGAATTCTTTTATGATGAAGCCCGCATCCACGTTGCAAGACGTTCAGGATCAGCTTCGCGACGTCAAGGCTCTCCTGCAGAAGTTCAGTGCTGTTCAAAACCGGTTACTCAGTGCTGCTTTTGCAGCGATACCTCGCACATCCGTCTTTTATGCGCCTCAATTATTCAGCGGGCAGCTTGACATATCCCAGCTTAGTCTCGATTACTTCGGCATCGAGATGCTAGAGTGCCCCCTCAACGCCGGGCCGACTAGCGAGTCGCTCGTGGTGTCTTTGAAGGCAGCGATGGCAACTTTCGTCAAGGTGGGCAGCACTATCACAACCAAGATGGTCTGGAGCTTTGCGGATTCGATTGACATCGCAAAACATTACCAAAATGGCCTTATAGTGGTGGTCAACCCTCCCGACAACGACTCGTGGGTCTGGGATGCGGCAAGCTATATCACACCGCTCTCGGATGATACTGAGAAGAATGAGTACACATTTGCTCCAGGGACGTCATTCGTTGTGGAGTCACTAGACGTACGGGATATTGATGAGGATGAGAGGAACAAGTCTGTTCAGTTTCTGACTCTGAAGTTGCATGCTCCTGGTTCCGTTCGCGATGATCGAACCAGGCAACGTCCGAGTCGGCCTCCACTCAATAATATACCTGCGCGCCGTTCCAGTGGCCGCAAGTTCAATCACCATCTCACGAATAAGACGGGTGGAAGACGATGTCATTGTGTTGATGATGCTGAAAGGTATGTGACAATGTTTATTGGTTACGGTTTCTGCTAACAAGTTTGGACCACAAGAATGAAAGGTCAGGACAAGTAGGATGTGCGCTTGAGGTTTGAGGCTTTGAAGTACCAATCCAATGACGAAGTATTGTATATGTAGTTTTATCTTTTGCACAAGTGATGTACTTTGACCAGCTGAATCCCTTCATACCGCGTGGCCAGCCCTTGAGTCGATGTCACCATTTCTGCAGGTGATTTTCTTTTCTTTTCGGAATCTACTCGTTCCTTGTTGATTTTGCATTAGAGATACGAGCACCAGGAGTCTAGCCAACTTGAACAAGCAATGTGTATGTACACCAATGTCACGTCCATTTAGTAACTATAGCTGGCCATTGGTCATATTTCACACCCTCACTTCGAAGCCTTGTCTTCGGTATAACTCGACGGTTTACGAACTACCATTTAAAATGACCCAGTTGAAGTTGTTGGTCTGGAAGATGGTTGCCTCCAGATGGTTGCCGCAGGATACACGCGATTTGTTTGTGAGTGTTCATAGGTTGTACTTGCTATTTGATTCAACTTTTCCGGCATATTGTAAGCACGCTGGCTTACCTGAGTTCTCATAATCAGTACATATACCGTCGCTGATACTGAAACATAAGCTTTCAGTATTTCACCTTTTGGTGTAACGGTTATGCGTGGCGGCGGTCTGACCATGTTACACATATATGTTGCATACAGTAGCAGTAACGATTCCACTTCTGCTTCTGGAGAGGAATACTTGGATGCTGTAACCTCCGACGGCATATACCTGATTGTCCGAAGTAACATCGGGAGCAGCCCTGGCTCTGGCTTCGATTTTGTCATCTTGTTTTCCATGTATGCTACATTTTCCTAAGCAAGAAGTTACTGAATCATGCCTTCCCAGGGAGCGCCTTTACTCAGTGTTCGACACGACGAATTCCAGAGCTCTCGGGTTTGCCGAGACTGCGTACACCAATATTGGCATGTAACTGCGGACCCTTGAAAGATGAGGATTTTACCTTTCTTGACATCTGATGTTACATACATATCTCAAGTCCCTCCGCTTTTGACGATCTCTTCACCAGTACCTGGCAATCTGCATACGAGAAAGAGGGATTTCCTCTTTAACTTTGTGTTGGTTGTGCCCATGTCATGTACGTGTTTCCACGACTGAGCTGACATCGAATCACTGGCGGATATGTATGTCTAGTAGTTATTCAAGGTCCTTGTAAGTACTTTGATGACAAAGTTCACACAGAACAAGGAATT